AAAGAACCAATAGAAATTTTAGGTACACTGTGAATAATAGTAGGTATACAGGGTAATTCAAATTCGACCCCCACCATTAGGATCTCAGAAACCATAAGAGATACAGAAATGGTTAAATGGGGGCAAAGTTGCGTATCTTAGAGCTCATCATTTTTCAACTAAGTGTTTGGATCTAGCCGTTTTAGTTTTTAAAATATGGCTGAAAAACAAAAAAATTACTTTCATGAACTTCTTTATTTTTCGTGAATCTGAAAAAAACATTCTTAAGGCAACTTTTTATGAAAAATGTCATGACACAACTAGAAATTTTCTGCGACGTTTCGTTTTCGTGAAACTATCATCAGGTTTATTTTTTCTTATGAAGGCCATATTTGATTTTCACATAAAAAAATAGGATAATTAATTCTGATTTCAATGATATGTCACAAATGTCACAAACAATGTATTTCATTTAAAAAAACATTGAATTATTCAAAAAAAAAACCTGATGATAGTTTCACGAAAACGAAACGTCGCAGAAAATTTCTAGTTGTGTCATGACATTTTTCATAAAAAGTTGCCTTAAGAATGTTTTTTTCAGATTCACGAAAAATAAAGAAGTTCATGAAAGTAATTTTTTTGTTTTTCAGCCATATTTTAAAAACTAAAACGGCTAGATCCAAACACTTAGTTGAAAAATGATGAGCTCTAAGATACGCAACTTTGCCCCCATTTAACCATTTCTGTATCTCTTATGGTTTCTGAGATCCCAATGGTGGGGGTCGAATTTGAATTACCCTGTATATTTTGCAACAAGAATGTGTTTTTATTTTTTTTAAGAGTTATTTTTTGTTTATTGTTATTTTTGGAGAAATGCAGAATGCTGCATTTCGACTTTATTATGTTCCATTTATTTTTTTTTGTCTACGTAAAATAAAATCTTATTTAATACTTCAATATTTTTACTTAAAAATACCTTTGCCTTGTTAACTAATACTTTTTGTTTTAAAAAATAGTTATAATTCGAAGAGAGGAAGGACAAAAAATGGTTTGTTTACATTTTCAAATGTCATCAATTTCGCGCGTATTTGGTCCGTAAATGTGGGGATAATGAACGTCCAATCACAGACGTTTTGGCAGTCGCCCGATTTATACAATGTACTAGACACTTCTCTTTATATATGTTCTGTGTTCTCACCGGTATGCCCCACCGAAGCCACCCGAACTCGCCCGAAAACTCCGCGAAATTTATAGGTTAATATTAATTAACCCAATTAATCCACCGATATCAACCGCGGGGGTTATTGATTTTAAGCTGTATATGTCTTTCCTACCTTTAGTCCAAAGGTTTCCTTTAGTTAAAGGAAGAAAACAGCGTCCAATCCGTTCTTAAAATGGTCACCACAATGTAAATAGAAGAAGCAGCAGATGTCAATTTCCTTCGCTAATTAGCGTCTAGAAAAGCACTTATAACTAATCACTTATCACTAAAAACTTAAAAACTAATCGGTCTCTACCCGTATATGCCTAAGTAAAGGTCTCTTTTAATCAAAAAACCTCGCTATCACCCTCTCCGTGTACGGAGCTCATATAAAACACAACCGTCTCAGACGAATCGTCGACCGCGACTCTCAACCCAACCCAACCCAACCCAACCGTTTTAGCCGCCGGAATGTGTCTGACGTTCTCATACCAAAAAAAAAAGAAAAACCAACACAAGCATTACTTTTTGAAATACATGTTATGCATTACGTACCGAGTCGTGGGGAGACGCACCGTCTCCCCCGCTTCCCCTCTTGGTCACCTCACGCTCCCTCTACCTAACCGTTGCGCTCTTCCTCATCTTGCCGAGCATGGAGGTCACCGGTTCCGGCTCTGTTCTGTTTCTCTTCGTACCTCCATCTCTCTTTCTCTTTCTCTCTCTCTCTCCAACTTCTCCTTCTTCTTAATTATAAACTTAACCATCGTTGACACCGCCCTCCACTTATCAGCGGATTGCAGCATTGTCTGCACCACATTTTCTTTGCTCAATACAACTCCACATTCATCTTCGCTTTTAGTTCTCTCCATTTGATGTTCCTTGCATTTAAACATTGTATGTTCGGGACTATCCGGTTCATTACAAAACCAACAAGCGTCATTTTCAGCTTTTTTAATTTTCACCAGATAATTTCCGAAGACACCGTGGCCCGTTAAAAGCTGCGTCAGATAGAAGTCGGGTTCTCCCCATCGTCTCTGCAGCCAGGTCTCGATGTCAGGTATGAGTTCCCTAGTCCAAGCCTTGTGTTTCTCCCATCTTTCCTTCCATTCTGTTAATGCTCTTTTACCGTTATCTTCTCTTTCTACCTTCTCCCTTCCAAAATTCCTTGCTCTTTCCTCCACCGAAATGTCCAAGGGTGTCATTCCCGCTATAACTTCTATTCCCTTAGTCGAAACCGTCCTGTATGCTGACGTAACTCCTATCGCCAATCTTCTATTAACCCTCGTTAGCATATCTTTGTATTTTGCGTATTTCAGGGCTCTCTGCCAGGTCTGTGCAGCATAAAGCACAACAGATCTCGCGGCTGTTGCCAGTAATCTTCTTTTCTTGGATGTTGGGCCTCCTATATTAGGCATTATACGCATTAAGAGATTTGACATATAGATTGCTTTATTTGTTACTTCGATAACGTGTTTTGTCATAGACATGTCTTTGTCAAGGTGGACTCCCAAGTACCTTACCATTGCTGAGCTTGTAGCTTGTACTACTTGCTCGTTTAGAGTCAAGGTCAAGGTTAATTCTCTTATTTTTTTCCGACCCTGAAGTAAGACCATCTCCGTTTTATGTGTGGCTACTTTTAATCCCATCTCCTCTAGCTTTCTGGTAATCGTCTCTACTGTGTACTTTGATTTTTCTTCTAAATCCACTCTGTCCCTTCCTTTCACCACCAACGCCAGATCATCGGCGTACGCTATCAGCTCCGCTCCTTGCTCTAAATTTATTCTCAAGATTCTGTCATAAAAAATATTTCACAACAGTGGACCCATTAAGGATCCCTGGGGTACTCCGCTCGTGACCTCATACATTTTCTCATTTGGAGCTATAATGCTCCTATTAGATAGGTACGACTTCACCATATTAATTAGGTACTCGCTTACGTTCCCCTCCACCAAGGACTGTACTATATGTTTCCACGGTACCGAGTTAAACGCGTTCTCGATATCCAGCAACACCAAGACACATACCTCTCTATTCTTTAGAGCTTTTCTTTTAATTCTATCTACTACATCTTGCACCTTTTGGATCGCATTTATCGTCGATTTCCCTTTTCTATATCCGAACTGATTTTCATGAAGTAACTTCTTTTCCTCCACTTCTCTTTGCAGTCTTTCTCTTAAGAGAGCCTCAAAAAGCTTGCCAGTAGTATCGGCCAAGCAGATCGGATATGATATCTCCTTTCCCTCCCTTTTTGGCTTCTCAATCAGAACCAGTTTATTTGTTTTCCAGATATCCGGGAATTTACTATACCTTAAGCAGCTGTTAAATACCGCCAGATAGTCGTCAGGATATTTATTCGTTAGAATATTTGTAATTTCTGGAAATATTCCATCTGGTCCGGGTGCTTTTCTGTTATGCAGTCTTGTCGAAGCGATTTTAAGTTCGTCCTTGGTAAAGTACTCGATATCTTCGGCCGCAATCGTTTGAAAACCCCACGCAATCCTCCCGTGTTTTGGAAAAAGCTTCTCTACTTGTTTTTCTACTTCCTCTTTTTTAATTTCTACTCTGCTTTTTAATTTCAGTCTCTTCATAACTATTTTATACGCCTTTCCCCATACGTCGTCATTTAGCTCCTCGCAGATATTCCTCCATTTCGTCTCCTTGCTCCTTCTTATTGCCACTCTCAGTTCCTTCTTTACATCCTTGTACCTGTGCTTGATATCTTCAATTTGTTGCTGGGTTAGTTGTGTCGTTTTTCTATTCGTTCTAGTCAGCTCTCTTCTTCTCTTTATACACGCTCTTCTCAAATCCTCTATTTCCTGGTTCCACCAGTACACTGGTACTCGGTCATTTGTCCTCGGTCTTGTCTTGCGAAGGTGTATCTCACATACCCGATTTACGTTTTTTATTAAAAGCTCTGGAGTCATTTCCTCCCCTCTACAAAACAACTCAGAACTATCTTACTAGCGAGGCTGCAGACATGTACCACCTTCCCCTATCTTGAATAGTGCCTTCACTTCTTAAACCTCTGTACTGGAAACATATCGTTCTGTGATCACTTAGATTTTCGTTGTCCACCTCCACTCTCCAGTTTTCTATTTGTTGACCTATGCGGGTCGAAGCTGCCGTAAAGTCCACTATAGACTCTCCCGCACTACTCGAGAATGTTGCGACATTGCCCACATTCACTACTACCAAATCATTTGCAGCCAACCACTCCTCCAACATTTTTCCTCTCTTATCCGATGAGGTACACCCCATTTGTACGGACTTAGCGTTCAGATCCCCTCCGATAATAATATTCTTTATTGACTGTCTAATCGATTTCTGCATTTCAAAGAGAAAATCCTCAAATTCCTCCATCGGCCTATTTGGTGAAAAATAACACGAAAAAACTCGCACAGACTCCAATTCCACACTCACGAAGCCACACCCAACGGAATACCCAAGCACAGATAATTTTTTGTATACATTCACAAAAGCATCACACCTAGCATCCACAAAGTGTTTACCTACCACCCTCACATTAGGTTCACAGCCCATCAGCACATCCACCCGTTTTTCCTGAACATACTTTTCCATTATGTCGTGTGCTGCTCTAGATCTGTTAAGATTCAGCTGCACGAATTCTATCACCGCTTTTTCCAACCCTCTACTACCATTTATTTGTATAATTCTCTTTACGCTATTATCACAGTTCTTATCACAGTTCTTATCACAGTTCTTATCACAGTTCTTATCACAATTCTTATCACAGTTCTTATTACTTATCTTATCACAGTTCCTATCACAGTCTCTAGTCGCCATTAACTTATGAAGATCCCTACGTGCCATTTACTTTGCGGTCCGCCTTTCTGACTAAGGAGAGTGCTGCCATAAATGCTTTGCATCTCCCTGTCCCCGCCTTATGACCATCTACCTTGCATAGCGGACATGCTTCCTTATTTTTACACACCCCCTGGTCGTGATTCTCCTTTCCACATTTAAAACACAGCTTGGACCTATCAATATCCTCCTTACAGTCCTTAGCCGTATGCCCATATCCCCAGCAACGGAAACATCTCTCGAGTTTAATTCTTCTCTCGATGTAACATCTTGTGAGCCCAATTTTTATAGGACCCCCTCTCATCAGTGTCTCTGCCTGCTTTGTATCCATGGTTACTGTTATGGCCTGCGTATCGTTTCTCATAGGCCTCAGTTCGCTGGTCTGCATGTCCATATTTTTCACTCCTAGAGCAGCTTCTATGGCCTCCCTAACCTCCCACTTCTCCATACTCGCATCCATACCTCTAATATGCAGAGTGTCCGTTGGTTCCCCAAGCCTTCTTACTTCCATCTTTTTTCCTGGCATCGTTTGTATAACCTCTTGTGCCTTTTTAATCACCTCCCGATCACTATCTGTGGTAATGAGTACTTTACCATCTTTGGTGCTACGTATGCTCTTAATCGCATTTTTTACTTCTTTTTCTCCTCCTAGTAGCTCCCTAATTTGTTTGACGGAGTCCTTAAATGTCCCCTCACCTTTTTCCACCACCAGGGCGTACGTATTCCGTCTGTTTTGTTCCTTATTGGTCTGACTTAAACTGTTCGGTACGTAAATATATACCTTAACACCTGATAAGTGGAAAATTTGTTCCAATATCTTTCTGTATCTGTCTATCTTTATTTTGTTCAAGTTATCCGCTTTTGTCCAATAGCGGACGAGTTTGATTCACCGAAAAAGTTTATTTCTCTTCGCGTGACGAATCCATTGGTGAGTACACGTAGGAAACGAGTTATCATCGGCGTAGCGGACCGGCCGAGGGTGGCACCGATTACCTGAGTCTGATTGCGATCTGCTGATTGGACGAAAAACAGTTCATTTAAACAGTTCCCGTGCGGTTATTATAAACATTTCGACAAAATTTTATTAGAAAGATCGCTTCAGAATAATGTATCCTACAACCGTATAATGCTCTGATGCGGAAGATACGGGACACGCTGTATTGGTTAATTGGCAGAAAATCAACGCTATCACTAAGAAACAAGTTGCTAATATACAAGCAAGTATTAAAACCAAAATGGACATACGGAATCCAACTGTGGGGTTGTACCTGCAAGACAAATGCAAGTCTGATTCAAAGATTCCAGAACAAAGTGAATGCACCCTGGTATATAAGAAACACCGACCTCCATCGTGACTTGAAAGTAGCATCGGTGTCATCAGAAATTGCATCATTCGC